TACGTAGATGTGGTCGGAGGCGGCTGCGGGGGGGGGGGGGGGGGGGGGCTTTATTGCACATGGAAATCACAGTATCTATTGGAATTTTGGGACTTTGCCACACCTATTTTGATGTCCGCACTATGAACTTGGAAAGAGTTCTTCTTTTCACCTGAAAAAACTTGATATATTATTTGCACTTTTGGACTGTCGTCTGATTGCTTTATGTTAAATTTGTATTCCATTTATATAATCAGTCTTATATGTATTAATTGATTTGGCACTTTATGTTAATTGATATTTTGACACATTATCTCTCTATTCGGTATTTTATTACGATAGTCTCACTATTTATTTATTTATTCATTTTGCTACATTTTGTATTGATTATTTCTGCTATTTCCAATGTGAGTTTTTTTAGCGCTGTGCAGTTGGATATAAAGCTGGCCATAGACTGGTATATTTTTGTAAGGATGTTTACATGAAAAATCAGAACATTCAATAATGCCATGAGAAACTTGATGAGTGTTGTTTGAAATTTCATTTGATTTATTTTTAACATTCAATTTTAGAATGGACGTAGCTTCCTGAATAAAAACCACAATCACTAATAGAATTTCATCCACGTGAGGAAGATTTTCCATCATGCTTTTTTGATTTTTGTGGTCACTAATGTTGAAAATGATCCTCAATTTGACCCAATTACCTATTAGAAAATCAAACAAACGTTTAAAAAACTACAATTTTTAACTAAATTCTAGCTGTGTGCACCCAGTTTAAGTGCTGTGTGTCATTAGATTGGCTTGGAGTAAAAAGGGAGCTACCATCTGATAGTAACACATTTGCTACTGCTTAGGGACCTGCTCAGTGAGCATTGTCACCCAAATAAAAGTGAAAAAGGAAAGACCGATGCTAGAACAAGTGAACCGTAAGCTAATATTTTGTAGTTTTAAGCTTTAAATCTGGAAAATGGAAATGTGCCTGAACTTTGTTTTATATCTATGCCCCATTTTTTTTTATTTAGCCACCTTTGATCTGCAGTAGCATTAAATTAGTTACAAACATTTGCATTGTTATACCAGATCAAGAGTTCTTCCACAATTATCCTGAACTGTATAGCAGATCAAGAGTTTATCCACCATTATCCTCAACTGAATACCAGATCAAGAGTTTATCCACAATTACCATCAACTGAATTGCAGATAAAGAGTCCTTCCACAGTTATCCTCAACTGTATAGTAGATCAAGAGTTCTTCCACAATGATCCGCAACTCAAAATGTCTTTACCGAGTGGGAGGAGGAAAATTATCATTTCCTTTCCTATAGAGGACAGGATTTGAACCAGAGACCCCCAGTGCTGCAAGACAGAAGTGCTAGCCACTACACCACTCTATTCGTAGATTTAATCCTGACATTTGGATGACATTAGATTTGGACAGAATTTAATCAATTCAGATGTCCTGTGCTGAATCTGAATTTGTCAGGGTTATTCACAAAAGGGTGAGGAGTCTGGAGAAGGCGGGAGAAGTGAGCAATCTAGGACAACATAGCTGATTTGGAAACATTCTCCAATTCAGCTCACTTTCCGGTACAGCAATGTTATCCTAGATTGTTCACTTCTCCTGCCTTCTCCAAACCCTTCACCGTTTTGTGAATAACCCTGTATGTGTTACTTTTTGCAGTTCGGATTCCCAAAAGGCTTCCTGGAGAAGTGACCAAAGTCTGCTCCAAAGGCTTTTATTGTCTTCATCTGCTGTTGACTGTGCTTCCTTAACTTGCCTGCTAGTGCTGCCATGTCCCATCCTCTTAGCATCCCTGCTCAGCAGTTTAAAGGAAGTTTCTTAGGCTGTTTTTTGGCCCCATCATCTTGTCAGGTCGGGGTGCCCGAAGTACCCAAATTTTGGAGATTCGAGAATTTACATTTTTTTTTCCAGAACTGATTGAACTTTTCAGAAAGTCATTCATCTCTATTTATCTATTTAAAAAAAATACACAATGTTTGGAAGGTACCACAGCACACGAATGTATCTAAATCATATAAAAAATTCAATTTTTATTATATTATTAAAGTCATAATAAATCAACATCTAACAGCATCTTGTTAGCAGGATTTAAATTGTTCCATCTGAAACCTCTAGTACTCTTTTTTAATAACTTTTTTTATTAACATTGTAAGGTCAAGTATGTGTATCACCACATTACGTACTGCTTGATGTTTGCATATAATGCTCAAATCTGACACAACACTTTGAACAAAATCGTAGTATTAGTACATAATTGGAATTGTACTTTGCTTTTGTGATTACATACTTAACCTGAAAGGATGAGGCGAGCCACTTTCTCTTCATTTTCAAAGCCTTTTCACAGTTTTTTAGAAGTTAAAAGAGGTTTATTGATGAAATCCTCCATCGGAAGGTAGGCATACATCAGCTTTTGATTTAACAATCTTCAAATATTTTGAATATGTTTTTAGTAGAATGTAGTTCTTTGATGTGAACCCTTTGAGGAGATCAAGGGTGAAGCTAGCTTTCCTGCTACATTGGTCTCCTTCACCGTTTTATTGTAATTGTTTACAATTCATTTTTAACAGTAATCACTTATTTTCTGTTTTGGGAGTATTGACATCTTTAGCCTAGAAATATATATTGAGCATATAAAAAACTATATAGAAATCAATATTTAGGATATACCCTAAACTACTTCACCATACAGACAGTCATCCACGTGAGTTGTCATAACTGTTCATAGCTCTTTATTTTGTGCCTCAACATGGAAAATAGTAACACATCGCAGTCACACGCTGTGTTCTATTTGGGCCTTTTAGGAATGGGTGCTGAAGCAACTAGAATGTTTCTGTCATGTCACATAATAGAAGAACATATGTCACCAGGACATCCTTATCCATCATTAAAGGGTTATTATACCCTTGCATGTTTTTGCATATATCTACTGTTAGCAAACAGTAAATATATTCAAAACGATAAAAAAGGGTTAATACTTACCTGCGTCTTTGCTGAGCGCTCCCGTCAGAACATCTGAAAACTTCTCGGGCGGCCGCAAAGGATCTTAGGGCGGGCGCATGCGCAGTTCAGAAGTTCCGCCGGGAGACGAGGAGAGACACAAGGTAAGTATATGGAGCAGCGTGCACCCGCACAGACACCATGGGTCATCAGAGAAGAAGAGTACAGAGGAGACCGGAGGATCGGAGACCCGCACCAGCGCTGGAGGGACAGCTGAAGAAGAAGATGATCGGCTTAAGAGACATAATTTAAGGTAAGTCCATACAGCAGGATTGGGAAGGGGGGGTTTGACCTTAATGTCACTTTAAGCAATTTTTATTGATCACAGAAAAATCACCATAATAGTGCAACTTTTAAGGACCAAACATGGTCACTTCATCAAAGCAATATGCAAATTGCTTGTTTTAAACATTTCATCATTTAAATTTCTCTAGACTAAAGAAAAGGAAATATTTTTTCCTCCACATCTTCTATTAGCATCCACTACTGAACAACCACTATGGTTGTGCCTATAAGTGATGTAAGACCACTAGCAAAAAGATCTTAGGGCTTGTGCCAATGGGCTTTGAGTGTGTAATGCTGCAATTGGTTTAACAGCAATTTAAGATGCTTCCGAGCTCATTTAGA